TACGCATTACAATGTTAATATATATATATATACATGTGTGTGTGTAACCATTATGAAAGTGTATAGAAACTTCGTCAAAATTCAAACATAATGAAATTTGAAGAACACACTCTGTATCTCTGAACTAAGGCCATCCTTTGTATTTGTTTATTTTAGGTATATTTTACAATGGATTCTTGATTCTTTAATCTTTCAATGTAGAAAAACTATGATATTTAGATAAGATCTTGACATCCGATAAGATGTTATCTGATTCTATCATCCCATATACATTTCCATAATGTTCAACAGAAGTTTTGAATGTCACGTACATGTTCAGATATTTTACCACGATTAATCATACTTGTGATAAGACATTAGTATTAGACCTATTATATATTTAAACATCACATTCTTAGTCTAGTACCTTAGGGAATTTCAAGAATTGGAAGAGTGTATGATAATAGTATTCCAACCACACTATACTTGGTGTATCCATTGCCAACAACGCGTTTCGCACAACTCAAAGATATTGAGGCCAACAAGTATAATTAATTATATGTATAATCATACTTCGCCAGCTTGTAAAAGGCATTCACACCGTAACAACTGTTACTCTATCATGTACGCATGTCGACGTGTTTCTTCTATATCCTAACTAGAGCATCCACCACAAGTTATTTAATGTTTGTTTGTTTGTTTTTAATTTCGCGCAAAGCTACACGAGGGCTATCTGCGGTAGCTGTCCCTAATTTAGCAGTGAAAGCCTAGAGGGAAGGCAGCTAGTCATCACCACCTCCCGCCAACTCTTGGGCTACTCTTGTATCAATAAATAGTGGGATTGACCGTCACTTTATAATGCCCACACGGCTGAAAGGGCGAGCATATTTGTTGGGACGGGGATTTGAACCCGCGACCCTCAGATTGCGAGTCAAGCACCATAACCACCTGGCCATGCCGGGCTAAGTTAATTCACAAACAACATTTTTGGAATGGCAGCGATGATGTGGTCGATATTTAGAAGGAGATGCCAGGTTTATGTATACTATAATATATAAGTCTGATATCCCAATTATTCACTTCAGTTTTGTGGTGATATTATCACTTATATACGGCTTCACTTAAGTAACCTGAACTTTAAATGTACGTTTCTTATTTCAAAGGTTCAAGAGAACTTGTCTATTTTGTTTTTGTCCATTAAAATCTCTTATCATGTTTTCCATATTTGCCGGTGGTTAAACATTTTTTCCTGAAAGAATCACCAAGTTTTCCATAGCCTTTTTCCATACTTCCTTCTTACAAAGAAGCGTGGAAGGTATAAAAAGTAATTGTGTAAGATACATACTACTATAGACCGCTGAAGGACCTAACGTATTACCATGCCATTCTTATGGAAATATATTATTTTCTGTTTTACATTTTTTATAACCGCAGTTTTACTGATAATCAATAAAAACTATTTTATTCCGTTATTTTAATATAGAACTCGTAAAATCAAGAAGGTTTAAGCAGGTTTTCGAAATTATGAAAGGACGATGAAGCACTTATAATAAAAGAGGAAGTGCTGAGTAGGACGTAATTATGTTGAAGGATATCCAGCTATAAAGATTAATTACACCAAAGGGTATGTGTGTGTGTGGAATGCCGAGTTCTATTTATAATTTGAAAAGATTGTGACTATCAACGTATTGCACTTAAAACAAGCTTTTTAAAATAGCAAATAAATGTTAATTGGGAAGAAGGTTTAAATTGAAAAATGTTTTTGAAAATCTCTATGTGTGAATCATGTAACTTGAGAAAACTGGATTTTTTTATACAAAAATACTGACAGCGGTTTTACGCGATTCTTCTACATCTCATTATGCTTTATAGACGACGACGTTTTGGGATCTACGATAACTGAATGGCCAGGTGGTTAGGGTGTTCGACTCGCAATCTGCGGGTCGCGGGTTCGAATCCCTTTCCCACCAAACATGCTCGCCCTTTCAGCCGTGGGGGCGTTATAATGTGATGGTCAATCCCACTATTCGTTGGTAAAAGAGTAGCCCAAGAGTTGGCGGTGGGTGGTGATGACTAGCTGTCTTCCTTCTAATCTTACACTGCTAAATTATGGACAGCTAACGCATATAGCTCTCGTGTAGCTTTGCGCAAAATTAAAAAAAACAAAACAAACAAACGATAACTGAATCTTTCTCCAAAGAGGACACGCCACAGGGGTAATTGTTACTAATCAACTTTGGCGTATAATTACTTAATGTCCCAAAAACTCGTGTTCTTACTTATACTGTAGCAACAAACAGACAATGTAAGAAATACATTTTATAGAAAACATTCACATTTTGACGATATTATGTTTTATAGGAAATGATGTAAGTTCCTTATAGGCTTCAATATGTTTTACATTCTACAAAATATGCAGTAGTAGAAATCATTATGAAACACAAGGGATTTGCGCGAAATTCAAAAACAAACAAAACTTACTATAAGTCACAATTTCTCTGTATTTATAAAGGTCTCCTACGTTTGTTTCTGACTGGTTAGTAAAATAGCTTTCTAACTCTTTACAAGTGAAGCTATTATTGGGAAATCTATTGCTGTAAACTTGAATTCTTTAAGCTGTTTAACTTATGATTTTATGGTTAATACAAAAGTGGGAGAGAATTCCGATTTTGTGTCGAGACATCTTCGAAGGAGTATAGGGCACCATGTACCAAAATGTCACAAAAAAGACACATTCTTACTTTTGAAAATACATTGAAATGTTTAGGAAAGTTTGTCTAACGGAAAGTCAAGTTAAAAGTATTGAGCGAAACTTAAAGGATGAGCTCGTTTGAGAAACTCTTTCTGACTAATGATTTCGGTAAAGTTTCTGTGTATCAATAAAGTGATAGAGATAATAGTAAACTTTCTACACTTTACCATTCAGTTAAGTTTCATTATGAGCATTAGTTATTGAAAGATTCATCAAATTCGTGTAAAGAACAAAACCTAGATAATAATGATTTGTTAAGATTAGCTTAATAAATATGAAATGTTACATGTGGTATGTTCAGGTGCTTTGATTGAATTTTCGGGTAGCAACCCCAGAATAACAGGAGGAATGACCAGAATAGATAGTATGAAGTTAAAGCTAAAAATGTGACTTTATTGATGTTGGTGAAAAGAGAGTAGATATGATATTTTAATAGAACAAAACTAATGTTTATTTACAGAAAAATGACAAATGAAAATACTGACGATTGCAATAAACGTTTGACAGCACTTCTGGCCAGCAGAAAGAGATTCTGTAGACATTATGATGAGATTGTCTAGAGATTCGTGCAACTTTTTTTCATCCTTTCAGTGTGGTTAGTTAGCATATGCTATGCCAGTAGATCTATTCACACCAGCCTGGCGTTATAAGAAAAGTAAGTAGTTAAAGCTGAAATAATTCTGAGGATGGAACAACAAGTAAAGATATAGTAGGTTTGAAATCAAGAAGAGATGGAGTATAACATTACCACAGAATTGAAGAACATGTATGGTAAGAGAAATCAACACAATCACCATTGTACAGGCTTAGCCAGGTGAGAAAAATCAGAAAAACTGAGAGAATAATGTAAGATGTAGTTATGTACTCATTCTTTAACAAAGATATCTATTATTGAAAAATTGGAGGTGAAGTAAAGAAATATGTCTAAAATAGTTGAAAACTGCAATAACGATATATTACTTTTAGGAAGGTTTGGTTGGATTTGTTTTGAATTTTGCGCAAAACTACACAAGAGCTATCTGCACTAGCCATCCCTAATTTAGCAGTGGTACACTAGATGGAAGGAAGCTCTTCAACACCACCCTTCGCCAACTATTGAGCTACTCTTTTACCAACGAATAGTGGGATTGAGTGCCACATTATAACGCCTTACGGCTGAAAGGCCGAGCATGTTCAATAACAGGAATTCGAAATCGCGACCCTCAGATTGGAAGTCAAGCACCTTAACTACCAGTTCATGCCAAGCCTACTTCTAGGAAGGAGAAATACATTTGATTCCAAGTAAATTAAGTAGTATGAAAGGAATATTCATATTTTGAAAAGTACGACAAATCTCTAGCCTAAAAAATAAATAGAGGCGCTGCATAGGAACATAACTAATCGTCTCAGGAATGGCCGTGCAAGTTCTACAAAGCTATGTGACTCCAATTTTATGTAAAGTGGAATTCATACCACTAGTACCCAGATGACGATGAGTGAAGATAACGTCAAGTCTTCTGCATGAGAATACTGGCATGTTTTGTTGTTTTTTTTTTAGTGGCGATGGAAAGACTTCAAAAGTGAAATGCCCAATAGTGGAGAAGGCCAAGCTTGAGTAGGAGATGATGAATATAAAACGTACCACAGGACAAAGACATCTATAAACTAGTGTTCCAAAACTTCTGTAGCAAAGCGAATCTAGAGAAATCTGATATGTCATCCAAGGCGATTCAGTTGAAGGTGCAACAAGTGACATGTAGAGCGTGGTTGAGAATTATACAATGTTAAGACTTGTAGTTCTCTGAGAGAATTAAAGAGCATAAATATAGAAGACTGGTTAGAATTCCTTTGAAACAGTCCAAGCTAAGGTGAAAAGAAATTTAACTAACAACTTTTTTTTTTCAATACGATCATCTCTTAAAAATGCCGTAAGGTGAAATGTCGAGGAAATAATAATAATATAAAAATCTTCACTGGTTATTGGTTTTTTCTCTTTTTACTAAACATGATAATAATTCACTATTCAAATACGCATTTTAATGTGCTTTATTGCGCTTTTCTTATTCAGATATGATTCCAACTGTTGTCTGAACTGGTGATTAATGCTTTTACCAAAGGGAGCAGGCTGGATTGGATCAAGAGTTACGAATTTGAAATAGGGTCAGATAAAATAAAATCATAAAATTAAGTCTGATAAACTCTTATGCTCTTCCCAAGCATGCGTTGATTTAAAAATTAGTGTCAAAATTATTTTAAAATTCCGAGTGAAAAGATTCATAGAATGCAACAATATTCAGACTGAAACAATTTATTTCTGATCACAGAAGCATTTACAACATAAACGATAAATCATGGTCAACCGAACTCGTATTTCTCACCTCCTGAGGAGTTGTTGAGTAATGTATAAACTCAACTGAAGAATTTTACAACTCGAAAATTTAATACAACTCACTTAAAATTTCAAATATTTATTTTTTTTAGCTACGTTAAAATTCCAAAAATTAGCCATGTTAAAGAAGAAGAACTCGAGAGTGAAAATCATGGTGTTTTTGTTCGTAGTATGCAGCGCCATCTATTTCTTGCCAGAAGAACCGCAGTATGACATTAATTCGTTGATTGTACAACTTTTTGTACAGCACTCGTCTGAAACACCCCGAGTCTGTCGAGCTAAGCTGTCTCGCTTTCGGAACATAGACATAGCCATTTTGGTGTCAAGGTATCCGCCATCAGTGGGTGTCTGTAAATCTTTCACCATTCGCCACCAGGGAACTGAATGAAAATCAATTCGTAAACACATATACATACATATACTGCTTATAAAATTTGCTCATGATTCGTTAAGTCTCTCTCTCTCTATATATATATATATATATACATATATACTATATTTTTTCGGTTATTATATCAGTACGATAATAACTTATTTTTTACGTTTAAATCTGTGACACACACACACACACACACACATATATATATATATATATAGAGAGAGAAATATCTGATTTGTTCTAAAATTAATAAGAACATTTTAATACACAGGTAAAGTATAAATAAGAAAAATTATAGCAATACGAATATTTGAATAATCTTTAAAACTTTCAGACTTTGTGAGGTTTCGTATTTGTTGAGTTAGTCATTTCTGTATACTTATATTACCTGTAGTCAGTTCGTTGTTGAAGAATTCACTGTCAGGCCTCTTTTGAGGAAAGTAGTAGAAGCCGCCACATACTATGGAGAGTGCTTGGGCAAGTTCGGGTCCACAAAGTTTCTGGGATCTAGTTTGTATCATATGTTGGCTGGGAAGAGCCATGACTAGGGACGTGATAGCAACCCAAATGCAAACGCTCAACATCAAAATGGTTATTCTCATCTAAAGATACAAACAAAATTAAATCTCTACGGAGAAAAAAAACTACACAAATTTATTACATTTCTATTGTATCAAAAATCAAGGCTCACCTTAATTAAAGTACCTTTATTCCAAACATCGGATGTACGTGATCATTAGCCATATTATTAAATATATCCTTTGGTTATTTTGATTCAGTTGTGATACAAATATTTTTACAACTATTTCTTTGGTAATTACTGTTATAAGGCTTCACTGATGTTGTAGAAAATGTATTTATGAGCGTTTAATAAAAAGTGTATCTGATTCACAGATCTAAGGATTATTCGTCAGATGTTTAGTAATTAGCATTGTTGTAGATAAATGTTCTTGTCACGGAATTTAATATATTGTTTGTTTTTTTTCTCTCGAAAAATTATATTTATTGTGCTCATCTTTAATATAGCGAGATCAAACAATTTGGTTTCATTGCATCGTCTGATTGTTGGGTGAAAAGCTTCTTATGAAAAACATCTTTCTTTAGTTTGTCTTCTGTCCGTTAGGAGCAAGGTATTATAATCTAAATCAATTTGCTTGTTCGGATCATAATAATGCATCGTAATATAATTTTTGTCTCTGTTTGATAAAGTATTGAACTTACTTGCTGTGTATTTTGCAAAATCGTGACAGTTTAATTTCATTACGATCATGATAGCATGATCTAGTTTATGTCAAACAAGGTAATATCCAACTTGAACCTTTGCCAGTTTTGATAACTGTATTTTTGGCAATAACTTCTATTGGATTGTTTGGTTTAAAACCGTTTCAAGCTATAAAGAAACACTGTACACGTACTATTCTGACAGACAAAGATATCAAGTTCTACTGTATAAAGGAATGAGGATGGTATTGTGTAAAGTGTGCGCTAAGCTTCGGAAAAACTGAAATGTTTTTAATTCCTATTCAAGTAGTTTCCAAACCGTTGGCTGAACTTGATGAAACTCAAAGAAAATTTTAAACCTTTCCGAAACTCTTATTTCATTTTTGCTTCGTTTGTTTTGTACCAAATAATAATAAAAAAAGAATAGGAAAAACGAAAGACTGTATATAATGAACAGCGATATAAGCCACCTGTCTGTTCTTATTAAGGGTTCGTGCTATACATTCCTACAATTAGTTTCATGCGCGGAAACTAATCCTAGAAAACCATTAAAGATCTTCTTTCGGTCATCATCTTAAGAGCAGCACTTGAAAGTAAAGGTGTAAATATAACATTTCAACGTGCACAGCGTTTTGTTCAGGTTATGTTAAAGGTCAAACTAAACTGATTGTAAACTTCAGCGAATATTACGGTTACCAAAAGTGTTTAAAAGCGAAAATCCTCAAACGACATAAAAATACATATATAGTTAAAAATAATTTCTTTTACTATTCAAAGGACATAAAAATGATATAATCAAAGATAACCATTTTTTTACAAGCTAGATATTTTTTAATGATTTATACTAATTAAAAATATTTCGCCAATTTCGACTTTTTTCAATACACTACGTTCAATTAATATGAATTATGGCAACTTAATATCACTCTGAAGGAAACGTTGCATTAGGACGCATAGTAGACAACGTAAAAAATGTTACTATTGCAGAAGAACAGCTATAATAAGAATATATTTTGGCCTCTGATTAATAAATATATTGCAACACTAGCTGGAGTACCCGTCTCCTGGAAGTAAGTTATGTGGATTCTGGATTAATGAAAGGTTATCTCAGGACATGAAAAGTTGCTTCCCTTATACGTAATTCTAAAAAACGCCCATAAAAACTGCAAAACACAAAATGTGAAACCGCAATTGTGTATGTATCACCGCATGGACCCAACAATCCTTCATGCCAAATTTGGTGAAGATCCATCTACAGGGGGCGGAGTAGTGGTAAAAACGCAAAAACACCAATAAAAACCGTAAAATGAAAAATGGAAAACTGAAAATTTGTATGTATCTCCCCATGGATCCAATGAACCTCCATACCAAATTTGGTGAAGATACATTTAGAGGGGTCGAAGTAGTGGTAAAAACGCTCATAAAAAATGCAAAATACAAAACTGAAAGCTTGTGTGTCCCCCGCATGGTACTATTGAACCTCCATACCAACTTTGACGAACACCCATCCACACCCTGCGAAGTAGTTAATGGACAGACAACAGACAGTACTATTATACTTATGTAGATTCAACAGGACTTTGTCTCCAGACTTTTCTCACTTCGGCAGTAGCCCCACTCAACCTAGAAAACCATGAAGAAAACTGCATTCTCGATTTGACAATCAAATACTGCTCGCGAGACCGACAAAAACATTTAAATTTTTGAACCTATTATATTAGTTTGTTTGTTTGCTTTCTTAGCGTAAAGCCACACATTGGGCTATCTGCGCTCTGTCCATCTAGGAAACTCGAGCTCTGTATTTTATCATTGTAAGCCTGTAAACGTACCGGGGCACTAATTACATGAATAAATATGTTAGAGATTCAAGAAGCTAAGTAAAAAAAAACCTTCTAGAAGTCGAGATAGAGTAACGTACAAAAGTCGCTTGTGATGCAAGTCCACTGCCTTCACTTAACGAATCTGTCTTACACCAGTAGTGTTTGTAAGATTTCTCTTTAATGACTTTAAGAAAAAATTAACCGACCCGCTTGTTTGCAACACATTTCTTAACAGTATAAAATAACGATATAAAATTGATTTAATCTTTAATACCACACCGGGTTAATATTTGCAATCTTTTTAGACATGGATTTTCAAATTTGCAGCCGTTTTTTATTCTCTATGCACTGTACTTCTTGTAAAGGGTGCTGGATAAATTTGGCTTAATGTAATTATGAGTACAGTTACTATTTTAAATACTTTAGAGTTTTTGTATTATAGAATACACAGAATTGCTTTGGCTTCCCGTTATACGTGAACTAAGCTACTTATATAGTGTCGGTTGTCATGAATATAGAGCTTAATTATCTTTGTATTACTGATCCAAAAGAGAATTTAATTCCTACACATTTCTTGACATCACCTGATTAAAAAGTATTTTATTATTTCACGTATAAAACGGTACGTACCTATATTTGCATGTTACACTGACCGCTTTAGTCAAGTACAAAACGTGTCTGTGGAGGAAGGTTACGCTAGCTAATTCCTCGTCACTGAAAACACTTGTATTCTCCAGGCATTTCACAGGCATGGTTATTTAACAGAAAGAACTAACTAGTCAAAACCAATTTCCAACCAATGTATGTGGACGCTACTTTCTAAGACTACATCAAACTATAGTTATACACGTTCGTTTTGGACTGCATCGGGGGGGGGGGGAGGCTTAATACGTATAGCTATACACGTTCGTTGGGACTGTATCGGGGACTTAATACGTATGTGTTTGGATGGGGTTTCTGCTGTGAATCTTTCTTAATAAAATAGCTTTTAATTTAGAAGTGTGACTAGTGAACCTTTGGCTTGTAAGCCATCAACTTTAAATTCTTTGTCCATTATCATTTTAACAATAGCAGGAGATATGCCCAGCTTCATCACATTGTCGACAGTTTTTCTAAAAGTTCGTAAATGTCTCTTAATTTGATGAAGTTCAGAAATTCATTGTATCTTGCGATATGTCATGTGACACTTATAACGATAGACAGTAATTAAAAGCAAGGAATTTGTCTACGATTTGTTTGAAGAAAGGGATTTCCACTATTTGCTTAGATTTTTTGATATTTTTAAACATGAACAATAGTTCGAATATCAGTCGTCGTCGCGTTTAGAGATCACTTAGGATGAAAAAAATGTAATATTTTACTTTTTACTGGAATTATTGGTTGTAATCCAAAACGTTTGTTTTAAAGCGACAAAACAAATCAATCTCAAGTTTCACCAAGTGGTTAACATCTGTTAAAGCAACGATTTAATGACACGAGTAACTTTCAGTTAGAATAACATACACTAATAATAAGATGATCCGATTCCGGATACATAGAAGATGTACGTCATGAACGTTTTTAATAATAGAAATGACCTGACAACGTATATATCATATTAACTAAACACTGCAGAAACCACCTTACCATTTATACAATAGCTTAACCAAACACTGCTAGCCTGGGCCTTTTGTAACAAAATTGGTTAATCCCGAAATCTGTTGATCAAACTTAATTAATCCTTCAGAAAAAACATCACGACTACTAATCTAGAAGTCTATGTATAACATAATAATCCTGTGTTTGCTATGTAAGCAAACTTGGTTGTTTTGATATACTTTTGAGCATTTTAACTTGTTTCCGTAAATTGTTTTTTTTTTAAGAACAAGAATTTTGCATATTCTATTTATTTTAGGACTGCTGTAATATTTACTTCACTACAGCTGAAGTCTCACGGTGGATCAACGGTTAACTTATGGACTTACAACGCTAAAATACAGGGTTCGATTCGCCGCGATGGACAGAGTGCATATAAACCATTGTGTAGGTTTACGTTAAAACAAAACCCACACACACACTATTGCTAAAGCAATAATGAGGGAAAATAAAAATATTTTTTCCATTTTGTTTTATAACCATTTTCCATTATAAATAATTGTGTTTTTTTGTTCATTTTGTCTTATCAAATAATCGTGTGTTATATTCTTTTCAGTCTTGATTAAAGCTAGGCCACATTTATCACCTTCGCTGTGATTTATTTTAATTAATGAACTCATGAACTTTAAGATGCGTAAGAAATCTTTTAATATAATTCATTGACTTTCTTATTAAATTTCCTATGCAAGCAAGATAAGCGACTACTTGGGGCTTCGCACTAATGAATTAGAAATAATACGTATTAAAATTCAAATGCATATTTTTTATATTTCATTAAAGTACAATGAAGTATGTGAGGATTTACTCAAATATTTAAAGAAAGGGAAAGTTCCTCTAAGATTGTCCCCAGTGGCACAGCGGTATGTCTGCGGACGTACAACGATAGAATCCGGGTTTCGATACCCGTGGTGGGCATAGCACAGATAGCCCATTGTGTACCTTTGTGCTTAACTACAAACAAACAATCCTCTAAGCTTAACCGATTAATGTATTTGAGTGACTCATTATCCTGTTGTATGAGGTCTCGTGCTTTCTAAAGCCAGCATTGGTTAAGAAGAAAAGCAACATTCCTGTAAGATAAATATTAACAAGTTAAAATGTTGTCAAACTTTATTTAACTGTGTCAGTAAAGATATTGAACCTATTGTATAAAAATATGAAGCAAGTGATTTGTGGAAATTATCTGCTTTATTGATCAATACATACATCTCAAAGTAAGTTAATATCTTCAGTGTTGTATATGGGTGACATTTGATAGTATTAGGCTGTCAAGAAATTAAAGTGGAGTTTTGGAACACTTTCATTAATCACCCCACAAAAACGTACATCACGTATAATAGTTAAATGAACCGCCTGAACGTCACGTTACTGTAGCCTATACAATGTGTAAAGTTTAGTATACTTTAATCCCTTATACTGATGGCGCACAACTGAGACACACATTCGGTATGTAATGCTGTTTGAATACAAGATGGGAAACAACGCCTCTGTAGCCACAAAGAATATCAAAGAAGTTTATGGAAATATTTTGAACGTTCGTAAGTGTCAATGATGGTTCAGTAAATTTCGTTCAGGTCACTTTAGTCTTAAAAACTGTGATGGCAGGGGCCGACCTGTTGGAATTGATATTAATGCTCTAAAGACGTTTGTTGAGTCTAAGTTAAGGCAACACACACTCGTGAAATGGCCCTGAAATTGCATGTCTCTCATGAAACAATATATAAACATCTAAGGAATATAGGAAAACTCCATAAAGAAGGTGTTTGGGTGCCTCATGAACTATCCGATGATAATCGTTTCTAACGTATGAACGTTGCTTCGTCTCTTCTGGCGCGTAATGTGCGTGAACCATTTTTTGACAGAATTGTCATCGGTGATGAAAAATAGATTCTCTATGAGAATATTAAACGCCAAAAACAATGGCTCAGTCCTAGACAAAAACCACTCCTGACCCCAAAACCTGGACTCTATCCGCAGAAAGTGATGCTTGCATTTGGTGGGACATCAAAGGAGTAATTCATTTCGAACTCCTCAATCCACAACGAACTGTCAATGCAGAGATCTATAGTCAGAAACTGGAATGTTTAAATCAAGCCCTTCATCAGAAACGCCCTTCACTCGTCAATCAGAAAGATGTTTTCTTCTCCACAACAATGCACATCCATATGTGGCATGTTTGACACAACACAAGATTATGGAGTTGGGTTGGAAAGTTCTTCCCCACCCACCATATTCTCCAGATATGGCCCCATCAGATGAC